CTGTAGTCCGAATTTGATTGTTCTAAAAGGATTTATCATTTCATTTTAATAATCATTTCATATTATTCTCTCTTTTTATATACAAATTGAAATCATACAATTTTTACTTTATTTATTTTATATACTAAGTCAAAGTTGGTTATCCTTTACAAAGGAGAGCGTATATGTCATGCACTTCACTATTACCGTCTACGGACTACGGAGTATGTATATTGTATAAGATGGACTACACCGAATGGGAAGGTTTGATATTTTGTAAGATATGTATTTTAGCTATTGGAGTGGTCTGTATATATTGTATAAGATGGCTTGACTTTACCCAAAAACATTATCATCTCAATATCTAATACCAATGTCAAACCATATCACTTTTTAAATTGTCCAAAAAAAGAAAATTTCAACATCAAACAAACCCCAGAAAATCATATCCAAAATATGATCCAAAATATGCATGTTGCATGCTGACTATCCAAAGTAGAAATTAAATTCAGATATATGAGTTAGAAAACAACATATCATTTTACTTTGTAATCATTCATCACCATTATATAGTAGAAATACGGAGTTTTTTCCTTTACAGAGGTACTTCTCAAACTTATTTTTAAATTTATTTCCCAATTCGTATTTTTTTTAACCGGAACTGGGTGACCTTTATTATTGAAGAAGATCATTAGCCATCTGGCTTACAATACAACCCGGAATTTAATTGTAGCTGAAACTATGATCTGAGATACAGACATGCGTTCTCGCTAAAGCGTGAGTCGCTAAAGTGTGAGTCTCTAAAGCGTGACCCGCACAATTCGCATTCCCCCAAATATTTTCCACCACTCAACCAACTGAGCTACCCGTTCAAGTTTTTGGAATACCTTCTCAATCTAGTATAGTATTGCTATAATACTACTAGTACGTTACCTGTGCGATGCACAGAAAAATTATATTTCGTTTTAAAAACTAATTTTTTTAAATAATATATATGAATCATATTTTTTTGTGTACGACAATGATTTGGCATATAGTACATTTTATTGCAATTTTAACACACTTTTTTCAACAATCCCCCACATGAATGAAAATTGATTTTCGAGACTTAAAAAAGACACGAAGATAGGAGGACACGTTGTGCACACGGAGAGGTAGGTTTAATCCTTTGAACCTTCCGCTGTAAAGACACGTTTATTTACTGGCTGTCTAGTGGACTCGATGTCCTTGAACTATACTGCCGTCGTGTAAACATTGACTTGTCTTTACACAGGAACCTTCCAACTTTGTTCCGTTCTCATGGATGTGCCCGTTTTGGCCATGGGTCACCGTCCTGGTTCTGCAAGAGTTTCTAAAGAACTGAGCCTTTACAGTTCTCCTTTTAAGCGGCCCTCTTCTCTCTCACATAGGTGATTCTTTCACAAGTATCCCACATACTCTTCCAATGTTATCGAGTAGATCAAAATTTTAGAATCATTAAAGCAAACGTTTTTTGCTAACCTCGTGCGGGAGTCACTATTTTAACGAGGAGTGGGTAGGAGTTCGGGACCCCCACAGTGACCATCCTTCACTCTATAGTTTAGTTGTCCCTTTTGAACCTAGGACCAACTAGGTTAGGTATCCACTATAGAACTTTTCAATTCACGGGCTTTAGTCCCATTCCTCGTGTGAACTTCTCTAACAATTCTCTATCCAATGCCTTGGTTAGCGGATCCGCTATGTTATCCTTTGACTTCGTGTAGTCAATAGTGATAACACCCGTTGTGAGAAGTTGTTTAATGGTGTTATGTCTACGACAGACGTGTCTAGACTTACCATTATCGAGATTGCTCTGTGCCCTTCCAATTGCCGCTTGACAATCACAATGTATGCATATTGGAGGGACAAGCTTCTCCCAGCTTAGAATATCCTCGAGAAAATGGCGTAGCCATTCAGCCTCTTCAATGCACTTATCCAAGGCTATTAGCTCATATTCCATCGTGAATCTAGCTATTAACGTTTGTTTCGAGGATTTTCATGACACGGCTGCACCTGCCAAAGTGAAAACATATCCACTTGTGGACTTTGAGTCCTTAATGTCAGATATCCAACTAGCATCGTTATACCCTTCAAGTACAACAGGGTATCTTCCAAAGTGCAGTCCAAGGTTTTGGTTTTTTCGTAAATACCTCAATACTCTTAGTATTGCCTTCCAGTGTTCATCACCGGGGTTGCTAGTATATCTACTAAGCTTGCTGACCACAAAGGCAATATCTAGCCTAGTACAGCTTATTAGATACATTAAACTGTCAATAATCCTGGCGTATTCTACTTGAGAAATACACTCTCCACGATTTTTGGTCAAGTGTACGTTTTTATCTAATGGCGTCCTTGCCTCTTGATAATCATTCTTGTTAAATTTATTAAGGATTTTATCAACGTAATGAGATTGGCTTAGCGTTAGACCGTCAGGCCCTCTAATTATTTTAATCGGCCAACTCCATATCCTTCATGTCAAATTTAGAATTTAACATGTTTTTGGTAGAATTAATCATTAGATTATTGCTACCCACGATGAGTATATCATCCACGTATAAACATAAAATGACATAGTCGTCTACCGTGCTCTTCACATAGACGCATTTGTCACTTTCGTTTATTTTGAAGCCATTAATTAATATTGCATGGTCGAACTTTTCGTGCCACTGTTTAGAGGCTTGTTTCAATCCATACAATGATTTAATTAATTTACAAACTTTCTTTTCTTGGCCTGGAACACGAAACCCCTCGGATTGTTCAATATAGATTTCTTCGTCTATATCGCCATATAGAAAAGCGGTTTTTACGTCCATTTGATGAACTTCCAAATTCCACAAAGCGGCAATTGCTGGTATCATCCCAATGGAATTTATTCTCGTTACCGGAGAATACGTGTCAAAGTAATCATGGCCCTCACGTTGCTTGTATCCTTTGTTTACAAGTCTGGCCTTATACTTTTCAATGGAACCGTCATGTTTCATTTTACGTTTAAAAATCCACTTGGATCCCAAAGGCTTACATCCCGGAGGGAGATCAACCAATTCCCATGTGTGATTTTTTAGGATAGAGTTCACCTCACTTTTGATGGCTTCTTTCCACATTGGTCCTTCGGTAGACGTTACGGCTTCCGTATAAGTCCGTGGCTCATTTTCTACCAAACATGTTAGAAAATCCGGTTGATTTTCTACCATACAAGTTAGAATATTTGAATCGAATTCTACCAAGTATGTGATAAAATCCGGTCCGAAGGATTTTTCAACTCTAGCACATTTGCTACGTCGGGGTTCGACTTCTTCACCGGATCCCTCGCTAGTATTTTCCATAGCTACGTCAAATGTTCGTTTTGACGTGCTAGGTCCTTCGTTGGACTTGCATGGAAATAAGTCTTCAAAGAATGATGCATTCCTTGACTCAATTATTGTATTTTTATGTACATCCGGATTATTCGAATCGTACACTAAAAACCGATAAGCACTACTATTTTGTGCGTGTCCAATAAAAATACAATCCACCGTTTTTGGACCTATATTTATTTTCATAGGTGTGGGTACAATCACCTTAGCAAGACACCCCACACTTTCAAATATTGATAGGAAGGTCGTCTACCTTTCCACAACTCGTACGGAGTTTTATCATATTTTTTTCGGGGAACCTTGTTTAAAAGGTAATTGCTTATTAAGATCGCTTCGCCCAACGTATTTTGTGGCAGTCCCGTACTTACTAGCATCGCATTCATCATATCTTTCAATGTGCGATTCTTTCGTTCGGCAACACCGTTTGATTGAGGTGAGTAGGGTGCGGTACATTCATGTATAATACCCACACTAGCGCAAAACTCACCAATTGGTGCTTCATACTCACCACCTCGATCACTTCTAACCGTTTTAATCCGTCGATTAAGTTGGTTCTCCACTTCATTCTTATAAAGAATGAATTTATCGATTGCTTCTTGTTTATTTTTTAATAAATAAACATAGCTATAGCGAGTGCTATCATGGATAAAAGTAATAAAATATTTATTACCACCACGTGTTTGTATTGATTTAAAATCACAAACGTCACTATGAATTAATTCTAGTGGTTCTGTTTTTCTTTCAACCGATTTGAAAGACGTTTTCGTTAGTTTTGCCTCAACACAAACATCACATTTGTGCTTCACATCAATTGTGAATTTAGGAATGTGTTCCATGTTAACTAATCTACGTATAGAATTAAAATTAACATGTCCTAGTCTACCATGCCACACATTGGAAGACTCAAGCAAGTAAGCAGAAGAGATTTTATTATTATTAATAATAATAGTCATTACATTGAGCTTAAACAGCTCATCAACTGCATACCCCTTCCCCACGTATATTCCCGATTTAGACAAAACTAGTTTGTCCGACTCAAAGACCATGCGGAAGCCATGCTAGTGACCGGGCTGAACTTGCAAGTATACAAGTGCCGATGTAGTAATAAAATACCGGTAAATACCGGGTCGATCCACAGGGAAATGGTTGATATTATAAAGTCGAGTATTGAATGCAAAGAATGTAAATGATATATTTTTTCAGGAACTTTGCTCTTTGAGATTGGTTTAAACAAGAATGGGAATTGCTAAGGCAATCGGGATTCACCTAAATGCTTTAATAATTGTTTAATAATAGTTCTTTCCCAATAATTATGAATACGATGTCGCTAATATATTCTCAACTCCGGTTAAGGCAGCGAGAGCGTGGTTTTCGTTACGTGTAAGTCCCGTTACGGCTTACATTCATCTATCGAAAACCCCGTTGAATATCAAGACATCACAACCGTATCATATAAGACCGGATATATTTCTATTCTTGGTACTATATATGTTTATCCTTTAATGTTCATAGTTTAGACTTCAACGTTAATTGCAAGTATAAACTAAATTTAACATACTTCTATGTTGTACACCATAGTCATAAACAATTAAAATATAAAGGATAAATCACAATTTATTGGTTTAGAACTTTTATCAAACACCTAGTGTGCATAGAGGTTCATCCCTAGCCTTAGCTAAGAAATTAGCCTCTAATGCTCATATTAATCACAATACAATATGAAATGTAATGGAACATGAAATTACAAAGGAAATAATACCTAAACACCAATGGTTTTGGAGGTTGAAGTTTCCTCCTCAAGAACTTGAAGAAAATACCAAGAACAAAAATATAAAAGCTATGATTTAATCTATGGAATGGAATGTGTTTGCTTGATGAATTGAAGGCTTTATATAGGCTAAAGAATGGCATCTTTTAGTCTATTCGAGCCCAACAATCAGGTATGGAGAAATATTTGATCAAAAGATGAGAAAGGTGAAGTTTTCCCATAAAAAATCCTCTTGCACGACCTTTTGTTTGAGCTGAAATCGTCCCAACCGGCCCCGGTCAGTCTAGAATCGGCCCCGGTCGCAAACAGGCTCGTTTAGTGCAAAAAATCCTTCCAACCGGCGCCGGTTCTAGGCTGACCGGCTCCGGTTGCAACGCCCAAAAATGCGCTTCCTTTCTCTTCTTCCGAAATTGATCAAAAAGTGTCGGTTTTTGTCCCAGGATTTTGAGGATGTTCCGCTACGAATTTGGACATGATTCCTTCACCAAAGTTGTATATAATGAAGTCTTCTATCCACCAAAACTTGAATGACGTGATTTTATTCATCCAATCAAGCGTTATGGCTAAAACACTGAGAGGTATGCATTCTGAAATCCCACCAGCAACATCTGACTTTGTTGGTTGATTGAGTCTTGTTCCTTTCATATTTTGGCCATGACGTCTTCATAACATTTGTACCTTATTGAGTTAGCATTCATATGAAACTCGAATCGAGTGATTTTGAGTTCTATAGAATACTTTATATTCAAATTATGGGCATAACGTCATTCTCTTGGTCTAAAAAGTCGTTCATCACAATGTTTTATGCTCTAGCTCTCATTCTGGAGGTATTTGACCGATTTCTCTTCCTTTCTTCAACAAATACTTATAAATACTTATGTCAAACACAAGTAAATATAACGGCTATCAGCTAGTTCGACAAAGAGCCCGAGATCAGGTTTTTGTGTATCTCTGGGACGTACAACACATTGTTGAGAGTCAGCTCCTTGCCCGAAGTCGTCTTCAGGACCACCTTGCCCACGCCTTCAACCTTGGAATGAGAAGAATTCCCCATCCACACCTTCTCACCGTTTGATTTCTCAAAGGTTGTGAATAGCTCCCGGTTAGAGCAAATATGTCGGGTTGCACCAGTGTCCACGAACCACTCCTTGGAATTGGATCCAACGAGATTGACCTCGGTCACCACGGCCGCAAGAATGATGTCTTCATCCTTTTGCCCACCTTGCACCATGTTGACTTGAGAGTCTTTCTTCTTCCTTGGTGCCTTGCAATCCGAGGACTTGTGTCCATTTTTGTTGCAATTGAAGCATTTTCCATTAAATTTGGGTTTGGAAACGCCTCCTTTGGGACCAAGCTTGCTCTTTCCCATTGCCTTTATTTTTGGAGCCTTTTGCTTGCTCCACCACGTTGGCCTTGGCGTCGTGAACAATTGGGAATTTCCCATCGTTCTTCCGGTTATCCTCTTCAATCCGAAGACGGAGGATCAATTGCTCCAAGTTCATTTCCTTTCGCTTATGCTTAAGGTAGTTTTTGAAATCCTTCCAAGCCGGCGGCAACAAATGTATAATTGACGCCACATGGAAAGACTCGTTAACCATCATTCCTTCATCTTGACCGGGCTGAACTTGCAAGTGTACAAGTGCCGATATAGTAATAAATTCCGGTAAAATACCGGGTCGAATCCACAGGGAAACGTTGTTTAATTTAGTCCGCGAGTAGATGACTTTGAATAAGTAAATGAGTAAAGTGCAGGGATTTTGAGTTGTGTGTTGTTGTGAAAACAACAACTTGGTTCTTCTTTTTAATTTTCAGAGATATAACTTGAATTAATTTGATTAAAGTGATTGATAACAACAACTAAGGCTTCGGGAATCACTTAAATGCTTTAATAGGGTTGAATATTAGTTCTTTACCAATAATTATGAATACGATGTCGCTAATATATTCTCAACTCCGGTTAAGGCAGCGAGAGCGTGGTTTTCGTTATGTGTAAGTCCCGTTACGGCTTACATTCATCTACCGAAAACCCCGTTGAATATCAAGACATCACACCCGTATCATATAATACCGGATATATCTCTATTCTCGGTAATATATATGTTTATCCTTTAATGTTCATAGTTTAGACCTCAACGTTAATTGCAAGCATAAACTAAGTTTAACATACTTCTATGTTGTACACCATAGTCATAAACAATCAAAATGTAAAGGATAAATCACAATTTATTGGTTTAGAACTTTTATCAAACACCTAGTGGGCATAGAAGTTCATCCCTAGCCTTAGCTACGAACTTAGCCTCTAATGCTCATATTAATTACAAAAGTGTAACTAAGAACAATGAAATACAATAACATACAAGAAATAATACCTAGAACCAATTGTAGAGGAGAGAAATGGCTTCTTCTCCAACACTTCAAGAAAATGCAAAAAGGAAATATAAAAACTGATTTTTTAGCTCCAAAGATGGAATGATGATCTTGTTTGATGAATTGGGGGCTTTATATAGGATAAGGATTGACATCTTTTAGTCTATTCGAGCCCAACAATCAAGAATGGAAGATATATTTGATTAGCTCATGAGGAAGGTGAGTTTTTTCCATCAAAATATTTCAGCACGTTCTTTTGTATTTGCAGGATCAGACCTACCCGGCGCCGGGTTCAGGCCTACCCGGCGCCGGTTCTTCATTGTGCGCAGGGAAATCTGAAATTTTGGCCTACCCGGCGCCGGGTATAAGGCCTACCCGGCGCCGGGTAAGCTACTGGTTTGTGTACATGTGAAAATCAACAAACGGGCGCCGGTTTGGTGCAAATTCCGGTGCCGGTTTTGTCCTGGGATTTTGGGGATGTTCCGCTACGAATTTTGACATGATTCCTTCACCAAAGTTGTAGATAATGAAGTCTTCTATCCAACAAAACTTGAATGACATGATTTTATTCAGCCAATCAAGAGATATGGATAAAACACTGAGAGGTATGCATCCTGAAATCCCACCAGCAACATCTGACTTTGTTGGTTGATTGAGTCTTGTTCCTTTCATATTTTGGTCATGACGTCTGCATAACATTTGTACCTTATTGAGTTAGCATTCACATGAAACTCGAATCGAGTGATTTCGAGTTCTATAGAATACGTTATACTCAAATTATGGGCAGAACGTCATTCTCTTGGTCCAAAAAGTCGTTCATCGCAATGTTTTATGATCAAGCTCTCATTCTGGAGGTATTTGCCCGATTTCTCTTCTTTTCTTCAACAAATACTTATAAATACTTATGTTAAACACAAGTAAATATAACGGCTATCACATCTCGAATTTCATTGAATATCATTTGCATTTCTTCAACTTGACTCAAGACCGTCTTTGAATCCACCATTTCAAAATCAAGGAATCAACCGACAACAAATTTCTTTGCACCGGCATCCTCGCTCTTATATTTGTGGTCCAAAGCATTCCATAGCTCCTTAGCCGTAGCTAATTTGTTATACATGTCATACAAAGCATCATGCAGCTCGTTCAACACGTAGTTTCGGCAAAGGAAGTCCGAATGCTTCCATGCTTGAACCGCATTGAAAGATTGCACATCCACCTCACCTCCGGTTACTACCGGCGCATCTTCGGTCAAGAAACGTGCAATATCGAGAGTAGTGAGATAGAAGAGCATCTTTTGCTGCCACCTCTTGAAGTTTAACCCATTAAATTTTTCGGGTTTCTCCACAGAGTTGCTCGGCACGGTCACCATAAGGATAGCCCTTTGGTTAACCAAAGCAGATGCACCGCATTGTGAACTATTGTTCACCAGAGCTCCGCTTTCAGAGTGATTATCGTTCAAACCGTTCAAAACATTCTGCCCAACAACATTTTCATTTTCTTGAGAAGTCATTTTCCGTTTCTTACGTTCTTCGAAAACACAAAAAACAAGTTTGTTCACCAAGGTGACAAACTACAAGTTTAAGATTGTTTACCGTAGTAGAACAATCACCGAATACGTTTTAAGATTGTTGGGTGTGTTTCGAAAAACAAAGAAAATTAATTAATAAAAATGAATTAAATAAAATGACTTAAAGAAAAACAAGAAATGAGATGAAGCAGAATAAGCCAAAGCGCGTGCTACACACGATTTCCTTAAAACGGATTTGTTGCCTCCCGGGGTGGTAGGAGCGTTGCAACGATCGTTTCCAAGGAAATGATGGCTTCGAACGACAGTTTAGCACTCAAACTATGGTTCCAACGAACGAGAACAATGTTGTGAACACTGAAGGAAATTTTCGGAGAAGACTGGAGTGTTTTTGAGCTAAAAAAGAGTTCAGTACGTATGTGCGTTGTGTCTGTTTTGCAAAGTCTCTGCCAGCCTTTTATAGGGGTGGATTATGGTGTGTTAATGGCTGTTTAAGGCATATGAACGTTGGACATCAATGCCCAACGTTTGGGACATTGATTCCAGCCAAAAACAGTCCCAAACGTGTGCATTAAGTCCATGAACGTTGGACATTATGGCATATGAACGTTGGGCCAGCTGGAGAAAAAAATGGAACGTGAGAGAGTCTTTCCCTTTAGAAAGCTTAACTCCTTGGGGGGTTTCCCTTTATAAAGGGTTCAAATTCCCTTGTGATTTTCGGTGTGGGAAAAACCCACACTAAAAACCCACATTTCCTTAGTTTTCTCCATTCCAACGGGTAAACTTCGAAAAGCGATTTCTCATTCACCCGTTATCTGTTTTGAGCGTACCATATATTGAATTGTAGCCCTAAGTAAGGACAATCCGAAACCACTTTGACCCGACCCAAATCAGAAGTGGACCCCACTCAAATAATTGCCCCAAAATGACCATTTAATGCAATTTTAACACACTTTTTCCAACAAATATATTACTAAATTCATAGTGAATGATAAAATAAAATCTATACGTGTTAGATATTAAAAAACGACATTTGTCATTCAACAATTTAAAAACAACACTTCCACAATTTATTTTTTATACGTATTTGCGTACTAATAAATAATCTTCATCACAATCAATCTTAAGAAATATACATGAGCCCATTCCAGCATTTCTTCGGGAAAAGTGTCAAATAGGCCCCCCTACTAATACAGAAAATTCAATTAAGCCCCCGAACTAAAAAAACACTCAATTAAGCCCACGAACTATAAAAAACGAGGCAAAACAGTCCTTTTAGCAGGTAATTAAGCACTTAAAAAGAGATAATGAAAAAGGAAAGAAAGAGAAAAGGAGAAAAAGAAAATGTAAAAGCATGCCACATCATTTGCCACACATGCAACTTAACTGGGAACGGTTAATATCCTGCTAAAAGGATTGTTTTGCCTCGTTATATTTAGTTCGTAGGTTTAATTGGATGTTTTTTTAGTTCGGGGGCTTAATTGACTTTTTCGTATCAGTAGGGGGCCCTATTTGACACTTTTCCCGCATTTCTTCCGATAGGAGTGACATTGCAAATCCCAAATACAATATATTATAGGAGTGTCTTTATGTAGTAGAATCAATTGTTCACACCTTGTACTACACTACTACGTAATTTATTATCTGCAATTATTTCGGCCACTTTTCTAGAGAAATTCTTGTTGTACACACTTTTATACTCACTTTATATTCACCATGTCTATGAAGATTTTTGGTTTGTCTATGAATTCAATTCACAGACAAAATAATTTGCACAGACATATTTTATTTGTAACCGGAATTCACAGACAAAAAGACGTTGCACAAATTTTGAATTGCTGTGTGATCCCGACTTTAAAATTTACAAAATACTACTCCGTACTACGACGTATCATTGTATACAAACATACCATTTCAGACTCATCTGAAGTACACAAATAGAAACATTATCTAAAACATTTAACTACACCGATACTGATATAAGACTCTGAATATCTTCAAGATGTACATTTATGCTCCAATTCATTACCTGTTCACAGGATCTAGTGAAAAGGGACATTAAATTGTACGAATTATAGTATTTTATATCCTAGGAAATATTATATTAAATGTAAATATTGCTTCCGTATCTCCTTCCTATTTTCTCTCATGTAATTATTTATAGTATAGAGATTTTCTAGGGAAGGCAGTAGTTACCTTATTTTGATGTATGCTCTGTATATATGTTCGAACCTAGCTATTTTGTAATTTAAGGCAGAAGTGATTTCTTCTGTATTCATAATTTCTTCTTCTATTATTTGTCCCATTATGGTATCAGAGCCACGGCAATAGGCTCTACCTAGGATTGCAATGATTAGCACTATGGTGACTTTACAGAATATGGATGAACGAAGAATGATAAATATTTCTTCTTCCCCATATTATTTACATAATTCTAAGAGATCGGGAGTGATAGCCAATGCAATCGGCGGACATGGAATAGACGCAGCTAACGACGTGGCAGATCATAAGGATTTTCCAACTCTTACGGCAAATCAATGGAATTCTTTTCTACAATTTCTGAAAAAATATCACGCAGGTGACGGTGTTGAGGAGTTAGCGGGTATGATGCGGGTACAATGGCTACTTGACACAGGAGCGTCATATCATATGACGGGTGATAAAAATATAATGATTGATATCTCTCCGGTGAACCCTATTCCAGTCACACTTCCTAATGGAAACGTTACATTTGCTAGTCATATTGGCCGAGTGATGATAGGAGCAGGAGTGACTCTTGAAAGAGTTCTTCTTGTCCCAAAATTGACGTGTCATTTGATTTCTATTGGGCGCCTTATTGATGATTTATCGTGTCACGTTATTTTTACTAACAAGTTTTGTGTGATACAGGACCTAACTTTGAAGACGCTACTTGGAGTGGGTAAACGTCGCGGTGGGGTCTACTTTCTCTGTGGAGTTGAACCAGTTCAAGTTTCACATGTCATCAGTGGGAGCAACGATGACTTGTGGCATAAAAGGATGGGTCATCCTTCACAACGGGTAATGAGGTTTCTTTCTGGTGGTGAGAATAAAATTAATAATAAAGGTAGTGCTGGTGCGAGTTGTGACATTTGTGCTAGAGCTAAACAGACGCGTGAGAAATTTACTCCTAGTTTGAATCGTGCTTTGAATATTTTTGAACTTATTCATTGTGATGTTTGGGGATCGTACCGGGAACCTAGTACATGTGGTGCATTTTATTTTTTGACAATTGTGGATGATTATTCGCGGGCAGTTTGGGTGCATTTGATGACAGGAAAAATGGAGGTTCCGCTTATAATGGAACGTTTTTTTGCCATGGTCAAAAATCAATTTCGCCCTTCTGTTAAAACTGTGCGTGCTGATAATGGAACTGAATTTTTGCCTCTGCGAAAATATTTTTTGGATAATGGCATTTTATTCCAAACATCATGTGTTGGGACACCTCAACAAAATGGCCGGGTTGAAAGAAAACACCGACATATTTTGAATGTGGCCCGTGCATTGAGATTCCAAGCGAATCTTCCTATTCGTTATTTGGGGAGAGTGTATTTTGACCGCATGTTATTTGATTAATAGAACTCCGTCTGTGGTGAATGATGGAAAAACCCCGTTTGAGCTTTTATATGGAAAGACACTGTCTTACGATCATATC